ACTGGAAATGAATTTCTTTGAAATTTTTGGTGAATCAAAAGTTAAAAAGATTGTTTCAGGTTGAACTAAATGTTTCATTTTGATTTTGAGCTTTTATAAGATTTGTTTAATTTATAAAATAAAATTAAAGAAAATTTTGGTACAAAAAGTCATTTAGAACTGAAAAATCAAAATGTCTGGAAAGTCCCAAAATGAAATGCATTTGTTTTTCAGAAATTTTTAATTTTTTTTAGCGAAACAATTAGACACAATCGACAAGAATTTGCAAAATGTTTCTGGGTCACTGTATAGAATCATAGAATATCAGGGTTGGAAGGGACCACATGAGGTCATCTAGTCCAACCCCCTGCTCAAAGCAGGACCAATCCCCAACTAAATCATCCCAGGTGGGGCTTTGTCAAGCCTGACTGTATCTGCATTTGTTGCAGGAAAAAAGTTTCAGCTGAAAAATGTTGCAAGCTCTACTTTGAACTTCTATAAAGCCTTCAATCCAAAGTACAGAAGTCAGGAACTGGAGCTGAGATTTCCAAAGCTGACTAGAGAATTTAGCCATGTAACTCCCATGTTCAAGCTGGGTTCTTAACGGTTCATTGAAATCATCTTATCTGGCTTGCCCTTGTTTTGGGTCAGATAAAACATGATCTTAACCGAGTGTTGTGAACTGCCTCTGAACATGCTGTACCATTCACATGCCAGCTTTGCCTCCCTAAATCTTCTTTTGGAACAGTTGCATGTTTCTCAAGCGATGTTGCATCAGAGAAGTTCAACTCTCATCTCGGCCACCCTGGGGGCGAGAAATGCCTGACCTGTTCAACCCATTTAGTACTTGAACAGTAAATTAAAGGTCTTCATTATCTTATTGGATAGTTGAATAAAACACTTTGAAACACTGGCATATTAGCAGCAATCAGGTTTTGAAAGGTCTCTTGTTGCTACAAGGAAATAAGCCCGATAAACTGCTCTTTTCAATTAAATGGCTTTTTTTTCACAAGTAAGCCCAGAACCTATTGTTTGGGGAAGATTTTTTGAGTTTTTATGGAAGGTTTTTCTTAAAGAATTAATTTATTTGAAGAGGCTAATTGTAATTGCAGTACAACATTGCAGCTCATAAACTGTCCCCAATTCATTTGTCTGAGAGACACCTTCACCGAGGCCATGTGGTCTAGTGGTTAGGGCAGTGGCCCATGAGATCTGTTTGGCTGTGGTGTTTACCACTCTGAGCCTCAGTTTACCCATCTGTAAAATAGGCACAATCCTACTTGGGTGCTGAGGGACTTGTTTAACTTTTATAAAGTGTTCCACAATAATGAGTAAGTACTTTTCATCTGAAAATAAACTAGTTAATGCTATAAACCATTTCAACAATAGATTGATGGTTTCCATCTTGGCGAACATCAGGGAGTCACCTGGGGAGACCTCCTGAGCGAAAAGCATGCGTCTCCGTAGCCTAAGCTAAAAAGCCAGGGTCTGTACCAGAGGACTGTTACTCGCTTGTGTCCTCTGTAGATTGGGACACGTAAACACACACTGACACAGGGTTTATAATAGTGCTATAGAAATGTGAAGTATTTCTTCAAATGCAGTGTGTATCTCCTGTACCAGTGCATGGTCTATGCATTTACCATGGAAAAGTACACACTAGTACAAAGGAATGAATAATAATAATACTTATATAGAGCTGTTGGTCAGTAGATCTCAAAGCCCTTTACAAAACCTCATTAAACCTGCTTTGAGCATATTAATCCAAGATAGTAAAATTGTCATTGCATTGTTCATTTTAAGATTCATATTGTTTATACTAATTTTAGATCTCCGAAGCTGATAAGCCTCCCGGTTAGAGGTCAAGACACTGTTGGTGAGGTCAAAACAACACTGTTCTGCAGAATGAGAAGGAGGTGGACAGAGGTTTGCAGCAATATGCTATCAGACAAATCATGTGAAAGGCTTTCATTCTAAATAATGCTTGACTTATTTCCTGAAAACAGTATGTATTGGCTATGAATTTAGATACTGTATACTGAAATCTATCCTTAAACGGTACCAGATAACTGCATCTCTGCTTACTAAGTAGGGGTAACTTTGGTGGGTTTATGACATCAAAGGAACTTCAAAGGATTAAAGTCTCTACATAATATAATCCTACAGTACTCTGGAGTAGGGGTAGCTCATGGGATCAAAAATATTCCATTTTTAAAGAACATAGTGTTAAACCTGGGGAAATTTCACTTTGGGTAATTGCATCCTGCTTAAGGAGAATTCCTTTTTTGCAGGTTTAGTTGGAATAGTTGTGCCTCAGTTTCCTCATTTGTAAAATGGGAATAATGCTGTAGCCCTCCTTTTAAAGTGCTTTGAAATATACTGATGAAAACCACTATATCAGAGCTAGGCATTGTTGTTAATATTCATTTCCTGTTCTGAAATGTCCATTTTTGTTTTGTTTGGGGTTAGCTGCATTTCAGCGATTGATGGAATGATACTTGTCTATAGGTTTGGACATTGGTCTGCACAGTGCTTGGGGATGGAAGTTTCTGTGTCTTAAGCCTTTCTGTGTGTGACAAAATCAAAAGAAAGCCCCACTAAAATATGGCTGCCGCTCTAGGGTGGAGTTCGGCGGTCCCATGACACACAGCATGCTGCACAGTGGAAAGAAGTGAAATTCTGCTCCAGAGAGAACTAAAGGGTGACTTGATTTGATTGATCTGGGATTTAGCGCTTATCCCGCACAATTGATCTCAATAGGAGTTTTGCCACGGGAGCACAATCAGGCCTTTAATGCTTAATTCATTCCAGTCTTCCTAGGATTTCTGCACAGGCAGACTTCCTGTATCCATGTTTGGAGGCAGTGTTGCCTAGTGAATAGAGCACCAGACTGGGACTCAGGAGAGCTGGCTTCCATTGCTATAGGCCTGCTGGATGACCTTGGGCAAGTCGCTTCATCTCTCTGTACCTCAGTTTCTCTATTTGTAAAATGGGGTAATGATTTATTCTCTCCTTTCTCAAGTAGTTTGTGATCTACTGCTGAAAAGGACTACATAAGAACTAGGTGGGGGTGGTGTTTGTTGCAGGATCAGGGCCTGATCCAAAGCCCATGGAAGTAAATAGGAGCCGTTCCATTCAAAGAGCTTCAGATCAGTCTTTGAGGACCAGATCCCATGCTGAGAACAGCACAGGGCAGACCCACGATGGGCTCTGTGTGGGCAGACTCCTGTGCCTGCCTGGAGTACCACTGAAGTCCAGGGAATGCACTGAAATGCAATCCCAACGTCCTCAGTGCAGTATGGCTTGTGAAGTGGTGCATGTTGAAACGCACTCTCAGTTTCAAGGGTCCAGTCCTTCAACTCCTTCCCTCCTTGTGCTGAGGACTGACTTACCTGAGTAGTCCCATTGATTTTAATGGGACAGTCTGTGGGATCTGGCTCAGGGGATGATCCCATGTTCTCTATGTTACACGTATGGGCTGTAACACATGAAAGGCGCCACTCCCGTAGTGGTTTATATGATTGATTGAATGGTTTGAAATCCAGTGTGTACATTAATTGCTGCATCCATAGCACTTGCTGCATCCTTAGTATTTGTACGTAAATCACATATTTTTGGCTGTGTGTAGGAGCAGGCAAGTGACACACGTTAAACATGATTGTGGAATAAGCTGATGAGATTTGAAATGTCGTCATAACTTCTTATTTAAAGCCTCCAAATTCTTCTCACCTCTGGCTTTTCTGGTTAGTGGCATCTTCTAGCCGTCTTTCAGGCCCTGTCTTACTTTACATCAGTGGTTCTCAACCTGTTTACCATTGTGGGCCGCATATGCAGCTCTCTGTGAGTTACGTGGCCTGCATCTACACCGTATACAGACTACCTGTAAGTCCCTGAGGCTATCACATGGGCCGCAGCTGTGTGCTGTTTGGGCCGCAGATTGAGAACCACTGCTTTACATATAGGCTTAACTTTACATAAGGGACTTGCCCCATTGCAGTCCGTAGGACCACTTGTGTAATTTTTGTTGTTGTTGAATCGGGACCATTAGTGTAGAAGCAATTTTTACAAGAATTGTCTGTGTATATGTGGTGAGAGAGAGGGAGTGGGTGTATTAGGGTGACTGGACAGCAAGTGTGAAAAATCGGGACGGGGGGTGGTGGATAATAGGCGCCTATATAAGATAAAGCTCCAAATATCAGGACTGTCCCGATAAAATCAGGACAGCTGATCACCCTAGAGCAGGGGTAGGCCACCTATGGCACAAAAGGCAGCACGCGAGCTGATTTTCAGTGGTACTCACACTGCCTGGGTCCTGGCCACTGGTCCGGGGGACTCTGCATTTTAATTTAATTTTAAATGAAGCTTCTTAAACATTTAAAAAACCTTATTTGCTTTACATACAATAGTTTAGTTATATATTATAGATATATAGAAAGAGACCTTCTAAAAACATTAAAATGTATTACTGTCACGCGAAATCTTAAATTAGAGTGAATAAATGAAGACTTGGCACACCACTTCTGAAAGGTTTCAGAGTAACAGCCGTTGTTAGTCTGTATTCGCAAAAAGAAAAGGAGGACTTGTGGTACCTTAGAGACTAACCAATTTATTTGAGCATAAGCTTTCGTGAGCATCCGATGAAGTGAGCTGTAGCTCACGAAAGCTTATGCTCAAATAAATTGGTTAGTCTCTAAGGTGCCACAAGTCCTCCTTTTCTTTTCACTTCTGAAAGGTTGCCGACCCCCGGTCTAGAGTATATATGCATGTGCATGCATTGTCAGCCGGCTGAAAACTACAACAAAATCCAGGGGAAGATGCTTCCAAAACTGCCGCAGAATAAAACTCAAACCCACCTCTCTCCCATAACTCAGCTGGGAGTTCTGAAAACACGCCTGAGACCCCTTTGCTCCCTGTCTGTAACAAACCCATGGCAGCCCGAGGCTACAGGGTCCCTCCCCCAATGGACTACAACTCCCAGCCTGCACCAACCGGAGAGCGCATGCCCAGTGGAGGTCCGTTTGAGTGGCAAGTTGTTTGTTACATTGTAACACCAGCTGCTTTCTGCACTCTGGAGCTTCTGCTGCCTCTGAGCTCCTTTAACTCCTTTTGCCTCTGGTCCTTTGCTTAGCTTCCCCCTCGCCCCGTCTTCTCTTGCTTTAAACCTCTCTCTAACTTTCACCTCGGTTTCCTCCCCCCACCCCCACCCCCGCTCCCTCCTCTTTCCTGGAGTCTTAAAGGGGGAGAAGAAAATTAATCATAAAAACCTCCCATTTAAAAAAAATTATTAATAATAATAATAAAAACCTGGACCCAGGCACAGATGAACTACAAATGAGAAAAAGGAAAAGATGGAGCTCCACATTTTAGAGCACCGGCTCAAAGTAGCCAGCATAGCCAAGGAGAGCATCCAGTTGTTTACCTATGGATTAATCAAACTTGCTTTCCTTTCCTCCAAGACCAGGTAAGTGCCAGCCACATAAATAAGGGGAGCAACATAAAAGACAAAAAGAGGCCGCAAGTGAGATCCGATTCCCTTGGCTAATTCCATTGCAGGAGCTAGGATAGCGATGGGGGGGGGCGGAACCAACTTCGTTCCTTGGCATATATTTCTTCGTTGTCTCCAAACGTTGGGGGAGGGAGGGTGGTTTTTATTTCTTTTGTTTGTTGTTTGCTTTTTTTAAAAAAAATATTTTTGTTTTAAGAAAACCTCCATCTGTGTTCTCTTGTTTTGCTGTTCTGTGCTTTTAACATGCATATGTCGCCGGGGAGCTGCTCCTTGTAAATGAATGGATGAATGAAAACAGGTGTGGGGAATGTGCAGGGGGGTGAGGGGAAGCCATGGAAAGTTTGTTTTTTAATTTAAAGAAAAGTAAATAAATAAAAAGGCGATCGGTCTGGACAACAAAGACGAGAGCAGAAGCAGCAGCAGGAGGAGGAGTGGTGTGGTTCCCCCAACCCCCAGCACTTATTTAAAACAAACACCCCTTACACGATTTGCTCTTTTAAGGGTGTTTTTTAAATGCCGAGTACTCTGGAGTAAGGAGGGATTGAAGTGCATGCATTGTTGCAATATTACACTCTTGTATTTTATTTATTTATTTATTAAGCGTTGTGGTTTGTGAGAGGTATCGGAAGGGGAAAAGAATGCAGTGGCAGGCAGTGTGTGAGAATATTTTTATTATTATTATTTTGGCCAGTCTGTAAAAATACATGTGTATTCTGCCAAGGCGCCTCAAAGGAAAAACAGTTTGAATTGCAAATACATACTATAGCTATATAAAAATCTAGTCAGGTTGTTGACTTTGTTGGTTTACGTGGATAGAGTGAGAGGTAAATAATCCAAACTCTTTTTTGGTTTTCTGAGCCTGATAATTTGTGTTTCACTTTTCTTCACTGAATCATCCCAAATAGCATTTATGTTTAAAGACAGGGGACTTTTGCAGGCAAGAGGAGAGAGAATGTTAGCATTATTTTTCTAAATGGTTTCATTCCATTCTGTAATTCAATCTGCTCTCTTCAATAATGCTTACGGATGAATGGACCTGTTTGTGGTGTAATTTGATTGCAGTCCCTTATCTCTTACAGTTAAACTTCTTGCATTGAAATTTCACTCTGATTTGTGGCTCATTCCAGTTGGCTCAACACTGGCATTGTTTGCAGTGTAATATATATGAGCACCTTGTTTACTGCAGCCTCTGAATACTCAATAGGGTATTAAAGGCTTAAATCTTAAATGTCTTTTTTAATGTACGGTTTCATTACTAATTAAAAGTGACTGCTAACCTTTGTTCCATTTAATTGCTAATCAAGTCACTTTGTTTTCTGATGCTTCATGTCAGCATTAAAGTCTTCCATTGTTGTATGCAGTGTTGTAACCCTGTTAGTCCCAGATATTAGAGAGACAAGGTGGGTGAGGTATTAATATTATTATTAATCTTTTATGTTATGTTAAAGTCCACGTTTTGAATCTTTAAATCTGTGGCTCCTAACAAACAGATTATTTTTCAAGTTCAAGAATTGTCCAGTTGTCTTCCAGTTTAAAGTTGCATTTCTTGGGCAACCATGAATAGAGTTAGGGTTGCAATATGTTATCTCTTGCGTTTGTGTGCAGTACTTTATCTTGCATTTTGAGTAGTACTTTATCTACCTTCAGGTTTCATACTGCCACCCATCACTGTGGTTTCGGAGTGCCTTCCACGTAGAATTAGAAGCAATAGCAAATTTCCTAAGAATCCTCGTGGAGTCTCTGGCACTTCTCCCTTTTCAGGGTCAAAACTCTGCTTGGGGAGGATTTTATGCTTTGTTTTTTAAAATATTTTATTCAGTCCCTCTTTTTTTTAAAAAAAAATATATATATATATGAATATGTTTCTCTTGGTAGGGATTTAGGGATAGAAGGTGGCAACAGTGTAGTGTCATTCTTCTGGTGACGCACTCCTTAAGTAGTGTTTTCTGTGTATAGTGTTACCATGCTTCACAGGTGCTTAGGAAACCAAGGTCCTTGCCCCAAGGAGCTTCTGTTCCGATGGAGGTAGCCCGCACAATGAAATCAGGGATGAAAGTGGGAGCAGATAACTGGGTTGATTTATTAACACACTTCCTCCCCCTCCCCCGTTCTGTTCTTCTTTAAAGTGAACATGACGGTGGCTTGATGATCATGAGCCCAAAGCTCTCTACTTACTCACAGGACAGAGTTCTGACTAGTGTTACGTGAACCTCAGTTTGGAGTGACCAATCCGGAGGATGAGTAGGGAATTGAACCTCCACAACCATTAAACCTTTGTGCAGAGATATTAAAGGTGCCAGTTGCAATGGTAGCCTTTGCTATCTGTGTAGGTGTCCAGTGAGACCTCAGCGTGAGTCTTCCCCTGTGTTGCCATACTGTCGTTAAGCGGTGATGACTTTGGTACACATTGGTCTGGGATGGATTTGAGCCAGGGACCTAGTAGTGAAATGATCAATATCCTGAGATCAGTAGTTTTGAGCTCTTCAGACTCACTCTCACAGTTAGATTCTCATTCTGGGGGAAGATGAGTGAACGTGTGGTGAATTCTGTGATGAAGCATACATCTGACCCTGTGAAATCCTTCCATTGTTTCAGGGGAATGGTTGGAACAATTTATGAATAGCATAATTTTTTTGGCAGGGGGGAAGAGGGAGAGAGTAGGTCACATCTCTCCTAAAAAGATCCCTCCATTTAGCTGGCCTTTTGCCACCTGTAGCCCACCCCAGCTCTCAGGCCTGCATTCATTATTCTTTTACTTGAGCTCACATTACAATAAACACATTTATTTTTAAAAAGAAGTAACCGTGGAAGTAATCTTATGGCCATGAGTGAGAAGGTAGTTAATAAAATGAAAGGGTGAGACCCAGGCCAAACGTGGGATGAACTGAGGCAGGCCTTAAAAAAATTACAAGTTGTGTTTTAAAATTAGCAAATGTTAATTTTGAAATGGCAGATGGGCAAAGGGTAAATAACAGAGCTCTCAGATAAAATACGCTGTGAAAATATATCTATGAGCCAGGTCCTCATCTGATGTTAATCTCTTTAGGCCTACTGTCTTCAGTGGAGCTACACTGAAATATGAGACACATTCTTAACTGGTGTAAATCAGTGACACTCCAGAGAAGTTGGTAGACTTACAGGGATTCATACCAGATGAAGATCTGGATCATGTATTTCTAATGGCACAGTTGAGGTCTGCACATACCAAAACTGAGATCAACATAATTTTCCTGCTGTTACCTTTGTTGTTCCCCCATTGTTTGCTGCTCTATTTTTTGCATCATGTCTAGGCTTGAAAGAATTAATTTTTTTGTTGGTAAACATTATTGTCTGCAAAGCACCGTGCACATTTAGCTGTGTGGTGTGGAATAAAGAACAGCTTCCATTCCACCAGCACCAAATACCCCCCAACCTCATCTCCCATTCCTGCTGCGGTGGTAAAAATTAAATTGCTTCTTACAAAGAGGTGATGCACCACAGGTGATCTATAGGAGGGCTTTCAGTTTAATAATACCTATTCACTGGTTGATACGTTGCCCCGTTTGTCACCTTTGCTTACCTCCTGCTTCAAATGTTCTAATTACATCCTCCTTTCCTGTCCAGGAGTTAGAATCTAAATACACATTCTAAGCATTAGCAAGGAAGGTAACAGAGAGAAGGAAGGCAGAGGTATCTTGTCTTCTGAATGAGTGTAAAAATACAGTCACAGAGTTGAGTTTGAGTCGTGTGAGACATCTGGGGGTGAGGGCGGTGGTGGTGGATGTCTCCCAAACCTTTTGAGAAAAGATTCATCCTGGAATCATGATAATTAGTCTGTTTATAAGTCCCTCCCTTCTTATCATTCATGATCCAATCCAATTTTATAATGTCTTAAGAGTTTATATATATGTGTGTGTGTGTGTGTGTAGTGTACATATGTGTGTCTATGTGTTTATTGCTCTTGATATTTGTGGCTTCTGAACAGGCTTCAAACTATCAACTTTCAGGGGTCAATAGGTCAACATGTACCACATCCCTTCTGAGTTCTCAAACAGCTAATTAAAAAGATAATTCATGGGTGCTGGTTTTTCAAGAGGGGTGAAGTAAGCATCAGATGATCTTTAACCTTGCCAAACCCCTCATCTGAGATACTGGCCATGCAAGACCATGTGACAGCTCCCAAATGCAAAATCAAGAGCGACCAGAAGAAAAATTAGTTTGAGATGAGGTAGGTAATATTGATGGGATTAATCTATTGAGTCTCTGTAAAGATTTCTAAACCGATCAGTTGCCTGATTTTCTGCTGCCAAGGTTTAGTAGTAAAGAGTGAAATAAACCAGTGTGTGGGTCCAATTTGGGGCTAGAATAACATTACTTTATAATCAGGGTGAAGTTGAAAGGTATTGACTTGGGGTGGAGGGTATGTTTACAAACCAAAAGATTTATTGATTTATTTTGGGTTTTTTGTTTTTAAACTTCGGCTACTCAAAATGTAAAAAGGAGACAAGTACAACAAACTACATATGTGTCTAAATTGGTTTCTCATTGGGGAAACTAAATAGAGGGAGCTTTTTAGAAGAGATGTGAGTTTATTCTTTGAGCCAATCTTAATAGGCCTGCAAATGAACAATTTATTGGTGCTTTTGAATATAAATGTCTTTTCTTTGCACTATCACTTGTTTTCTCATAAATGTCTTGGCTGGAGATAATTTAATGGAAGATGGTTTAACACTATAAGTTTCAGATCTTGTGATGTGGTAGCGTGAAGAATATCTTAAAATGTATCCAGTTATGTCATTTGGGGGAACACTACAGCATGTTCTAGATGTTAGGAACAGGTATTCAGGAGATCTGTGGTCCATTTCCAAATCTGCCATTTTGTAACCCTGGGAAAGTCACCCTCTTATGTCGGATTCCATGTTGCGAGATAGTGTCTAACTTTTGTCAACTTTTCAGAGATCTTCAATCCAAAGGCA